ATATATGCCATTCTGTTTGATGCATAGTCTCACTTTGCATTTTTATGGATAGAAAATGGAGGCTAATGGAAAGACTAAGTGACTTATTAATAAACCAGAGGGAAAAAATTAGTATCATAACTATAACTGGAACTCAAGCCTTTTCACTTTTTTTTTAGGAGAGATTTTTGCTATAAGGCACTTGCGCTCACCAGAGAGACAGAAAGTGAGAAATCACCCCTGGGGAGACTGCCATGCTGCAATCCTTTCTTCTCCATACTTCTCTTGGGGTTTTGAGCATGCATGCACATGCACCCGACATGAGTTTTAAGCTGCTGGGTCTGGGACTTGAACCGCAGTTGACTAAATGGGAGTCCAGTGACATAACCATTACATCATCTGCTGGTCCCAAGCCTTCTCACTCTTAGACTAGTTGTCTTGCCACTACACACTCAGTGACTACATCTCACTACACTGAAAGAACATACAATTTGTTTATAGAAACAAAGCCAGTGAGCTTTATTGTGAGCTCAAAGACCAAGGCAACAGATAAAAGAAAGAAGTTTATAAGGTTAAAATTATACACCAAAAAGATAGCACACAGAGTATAGAAAATATAAATGCTGGCACGAGAAACTTCATATGAATCAAAAATTATTCTTTAGAACTGTTTGAGCTCTATAAGTATATTATGAATATATAACAATTTAGAAAGCTATTGTTAACAAAAAGTTCCTTCCTCAATGGAAATAAAAGTTAACGGACTGGTAGGTGGCATGGTGCTTAAGGCACAGGACTCCCACAGGGCTGACCATGGGAGAATACTCGGACCTGGCAGCTCGCTTTCTTTCTGCCTTTCCCTGGTAAAATTGAAGAATAATAATAATAATAATAAAAAATAAAATTAGATGAATAATTTTTTTAAAAAATAAATAAAATTGAAACTGTTTTTTTTCTCTACTGTTAGAGCAGAGTGAAACATTGATACGCAGAGTGAGTTAACGACTGTATTTAAAAAAATTATTTATTTAGCTTTATTTTTTATTACTACTACTATTATTATTATTATTATTATTTTCCAGTTTGATCAGACAGACATAGGGAGAGAGAGGGAAAGTGAGAAAGCAAGCCAAGAGGCTCAGGACTTGAACCATGGTCGGCCATGTGGGAGTCCAGCATCTTTAACCACTATGCCACCTGCCAGCCCCTAACAGCTGTATTTTAGTAAGTGAGGATCATGAACAAGATTTTTTTCTCTGCCCAGTTTTTCTCTTCTCTTCTTTTCTTCTCTCTTTTTTTGGGATACGAATTATTTATTTAATTCCATTTATTGGTATTATTTTTAAAGTTTAATTTTATTTATTGTTATAATTTTTAAATTATGCTGAATCACATATATCTTTGCAGTGTATTACATTTCTTTTTCCAGCAGG